TGATTCTAACTCAAGCACTGAAGGAACAAATAACACAACATAATGAAACGGTTTTTACGAAGTCACGGGAAATAACTCTACAAATACGGGATAAATCCACAAGCGGAACCCAAGTTGCACAACTACATATGATGACCTACCTTCCCGTAAGGTTTAATGACTCTATGTAAAATCCTTTTTGATTTACATGCGACAAGTTGAAAATTGCAAAAAAAATTCTAAGTCAAGGTCAATAACTCTAAAAAATAAAATAAATGCACACAAAAAATATCCAGTGCACAACTTAACATGCTGATGAACATTCCTGCAAAGTTTCATGACTCTAAGTCAAACTCATTTTGAGTTACATGCGACACAAGTTAAAAATTGCAAAATTTTACTAAGTCAAGGGCAATAACTCTAAAAATACTATATAAATTCAGACAAAAATACCCAGGTGCACAACTACACATGCTGATCAACATTCCTGTAAAGTTTCATGACTCTAGGTCAAATACTTTTTGAGTTATATCCGACACAAAAGAGAACGGACGGACAAGGGTAAATCTAAATGCCCGCCACTAAAAATATCTTGTTCAAGCGTGTTCAACCACTTCACGTCCTGCCCTCTAATACAATAACAGATTACAGTCATCGAATTTAGCACTGGCCTGGTGGCCCATGACCAGTGTAAATTTTAAGAGAATTTAGTTAAATATATAGAATAAATTCAAAACTGGAATTCGGACAAGTAATCAGTATATTCAAAAATCTTAAATTCAATGACTGAGATTAAGGCAATGTATTCAGGTTAGTGCTTAAAGTATGACACTGTGTGCTATTTTTGTTCTTTGCAAATCATCATGTGGGATTTATTTTAATGGACCAGTATTCAGATTCTCTAGTATAGGCTTAGGCAGTGTCAAAGACAAACCATTTTAGCTAGGCTGTCACCTGGACCACTGACCGATAAATTTTGGTGGCCTAGACAACTTTTTAGTGGTCCAATAATTCCTATACATGCACAGAAATGTAGAGATTAAATCACACACAAACACACACATACAAATCAAAAACTAACAGAAAACATGATTTCTGTTTCAAATAAATTTTTGGAGGTATCTTATTGTGATTTAAAAATACAGTCAGTAATGTGTTATTTTAAAATACAGACATGATGTAGGCTTATTGAACATCATCTTTTCTTGTTGATCTTGTTCTAAATATATATAACTAGATCTATCGTGGACTAACCAGTTCTCAAACCCCTAAGCATTCAAGAGGTCTTTTAGTGTAAATAAAATATATCTTTATAAAAATTGTTACATATGTACACTTTTTAATCTTTATGTAACATATCTGTAAAATTTGACTGAATTTCAACAATTTAAAAAGCTCTATTTCCGTTTTGGAAAAGCACAACCCTCTGTTTAAAAACTGACATGACCTCTTAAAATAAAGAACCTAATCTCAAACCCCTTCAAGTATCTCTAAAATTCTACTGTTTAGTTTAGCCAATGAAGTGATTGTTATATGACTATCACATGACAATTAAGTACCCTACACGATGCAGGTACCTGCTTTAAGTTATTTTTGTCTATAATATTCATTTTCACAAATAGTTAATGGTGTATTTATGGGACTTACAAAGGTAATAGCAATTTGTATGAAATTAGGCTAAGTAATAAAATATGTTATGTAAATATTTGTTCCTATGCACTGTTTTCATTTGACATCAGCACATATGTCTGTCAGAAACTAAGCTTTTATGCACACATGTTCAGGACATCATAGTCACTTCCAGTAAAAAAATAACAGCACATGAATGAAGGGTTTGAGAATAGGTTGGGTGTGAGATTAGGTACTTATACGATACATAAATTAATGGTCATATAAAAATATTGTTTCTTTATGAAAAACTTTTTTTTCTAATACAAGTTCAAAATTGCTAATTTTAGTAAAAATGTCGCATACTAGGGTATTTGCCTGTCGGGGTTTGAAAAAAAAACTTTCTGCCATCCCCTTTTTTAAAACCCAATTTTTTAAATTTTCAATTTTTTTAAAGGGCATAAGCAAAAAATTTTCCTCCCGGGGGAAGCACACCCAAATTTTTAAAACGATGCTTTTTTTTTTATTTTTTAAATTATTTTTTCCCCTTCCTGTTAAAACAAAGAAAAATGAAAAAAATCGCAAAAATTTGGAAAAAAGTCCGTTTACGCTTTTTTCCAGAAAGGGTTTAAGAAATCTTAACTGTAACTGGGAATAAGTTTGGAAAATTTACAATTTTTATTTCTTTTGTTCAGTGGAAAATTTTTTAACCAAAATAATGTTTTTTAGAAGTGAAAAAAAGGGTTCTTTAAAAATTTAAATCTCTAAAATCTTCTTTTTTTTTCTAGGGGTCAAAACACCCCCGTTTTCCTGTTTGGGAAAAAAACAGTGCATTTATGATAATACTCACAGTGAATTTCACCGATTGCAGCTTTGAAGGTCTTCTTCTGATAATTTGCTTGGGCTATTTCACCTTCCTCGTTGTATGTCTTTATTGGGGAGACGATATCAGTTCACTGTCGATATGAGACGAAGTGTCTGCCGTCTTTGAATATTGCGCGCACAATAAACCTGTGTTCTACGTAATAAACCTGTGTACTACGTCAGTAACATGTGCTTGATTCGCAAAATTTCGTGTAGTTCCGTTGTTTTTGCCGTCAATACAATGACTGAATAATTTCAATTATATCGTTGAATTTTATTTCACAAATCTATTATTTTAGCCCAACAAGCGCTTGAATTTCATACAATGCTACAGTAGTTTCCAAAACAATTGTGTTGCTACGTCATCAGTATACGTATTAAATACGTCATGAAATTATGCTCGTCTCGGTTAGCGTAAATATACGGAAATTGCTCGAGTATAATCGTAAAGGTTCGCTGGTTAAGTAAAGACTAAGTTATCATCGTTAATTTCCGTCAGCATAAATATGACCTGCCACATATAGGCCTACTTTAATTCAGGCGGAGATTCGGGTTTTGACTCGTGAAAATTTGGAAATGCACAAATTTGACACGTGAAAAAATCTGCACAAGAGTCTATTTGCCACATGGGATTTTCAACTATGCAATAATAATCACCTTAAATCCACCCCTAATTAGATCTACATATGTTCAAATCACAATCAATAAAAATGTCAACAGGCAGTATAAGCCGTGCATAAAGTGGTTTATACACACAGCCTGTGCACTGAAGCATGACATCAGTGGATGCAATTTGACAGCGCTAAAAATAGCTCTACACAACTGATAAAAATTACATACTTCAGATGTCAATTATTGATTATTTTCTTAAGGTTTATAATACGTCTTTGATTTACTTGGAGTGCCTGAACATTTGTTATTTCTTTTTGGGTTATATATTCCTATTTAATATCTATTAATTAAATGGCCAATGACAAAATTGTCATAATGCAGGTTGACCATTAAGGTCAATTGATTATTAAATTTCAATTAAATAATAATAATAAAAGTAATCCTAGAAAAATATTATTAAATAGATCTAGATCAGTATGTTGTTTTCTTTAAAAAAAGAAAGAAAACATTTTTATTTTCAATTTTATTGTCTTCCTTCTTTATTTACTTGTTTACTTTCAACAAAGAGAATTCCTAGTCTTTAGGAATTTATGTAAGATTCAAGGAATTTAGCACAGATGTTAAGGATTTTGTTCTACAAGATAAATTCTAAGTAATTCCTAAAGACTAGGAATTTTGCAAAATCTTAAGTCTTAGAAATCTCAGAAAATAAATTACAATTCCTAGTATAACTTTGAAATTGATGAGTTGTTTAAAAATTATTAGAAATGCCTAGTTCTCAGTAACTGGTATTTCCTAGGCATTACTAGAATAGCCAAGACTGGTTTTAACATTCTGGAATTTTCTAGGATAATAACTGGGAAATACTGGGACTTTTTAAATACCAGTATATCTTTCTGCATGATTTTAAAAAAGTTATTTTATTTCTTCTTTGATGGTGATATCTTTTATATTCTAAAGGCCTAGCTGTCTAGTGTACATCATTTACGTTATATTGCAGACTATCAAATTTCCATAATCAAAGTACTGAAGGTACTAACGATACAGAAACGACTGGGGTTTATTAGTAAAAAACAATATACAAAGGCTAAATATTTTGACATTTGGTGTCAAGAGGTAAAACCCTTTCGATACAGAATTCTTAAGAAATACATGGGGCTTTAAAGTCTAGCTTAAACAAAACAAAAAAAACAAGATATACAAGAACTGTTAAAAGTGGACATAAGTGATTCATGCATATGTCAGCTATAAAGAATCGTTTTAAGTGTACATAATGAGAAAATGAGGGGACATAATTATTTTTGAACAATTGCCATAAATAAGATATCTATTCTCAATCTGATCCTCCAAATATCAGAAATTTTATATTAATACATGCTGATGTCTAATGCTGACTAGATTTAACTATAGAGCAATTAACAGATAAATTTTAGAGCTAGTGTCTTTACTCCCTATTGTTTTTTTGGAAAGAGTGAGTCACTCTCAAGACACAAAAAAAAAAAAATTTGTTTTACAATAATAATAATAATATGTAGGACTTCATAATGTCTTTTCATACCATTTAACTTGTCTGTCAAACATGCTTTCTTTCATTTACAGTGAAAGTTCCTATTTTCGCGGTACTAAAACAGCTAACAGTAATTTTGAAATCAAAGTTATATACTATTGTATAGTATTTTGCAAAGCTTCCTTTTGAAAGAAAATTGAAGAAAAGAATGCTGTAGAAATTTTGTTTTGGTTTGAAATTACGTTACCGCAAGCAGTATAATTTATAAAATACAACAGCTAGTGTCTGAGTTTCAACTCTGTCGCAGGCATTGTAAACTACAACCTTCACATTGTACAGACAAACTATCTGGCTCATGAGTTTTAAAAAAAAAAAAAAGAGAAGACGGCAGGGTTTGTTCATGTGATTTCTTTTGCTGCCTCTGGACGGCATGACTCAGTTTGAAAGTAAATTTACACCCCACACCGGTGAGTTGTACACATACAATATTGCTATGATGCACTACAAGGTATTAAGTGAATATTAGTGTGCATGAATTATATTTTCCTAAAAGCATTTAAATAAAACTTGTAAAAACTGCAGATTCTGTCACAATCTTTTAGCTTAAAAAAATGGTTCAAGAAAATAACTTGTAAAAAATGGTAATGTAAGTATTGTTTAACATCACCATTTATTTTTAAATGTTGAAAAACTGGTAAAAAATGCTGGACACAAGTTTTTACCAGTTTTTTAAGAACTGCTGTTTAAATGGAATCCTACAAATTAAGATGAAGGGCAAAAAATTGTAAAAAAGGCATTTATTTGAAAAAACTGCTAAATAACTGCAATATAACTACAAGTTAAATGCCTTTCCTTTTCCTAAGGGTTATTAAAACATATTTACTAACATGGCGAGCATAATATTGTTTTATTCAATAAATCCAGTATTGAATTTACACGAATATAATGTTCTATTTATCACATATAAATATAAAAAGAGTATTTTTTCAATGACGCGCATATGGTGTAATGCTAAGTTTAGCGAGCTTTAACACTATGTTTATACAAGTATATAGCGCAAATGACATCACGTCAAAGAGTTTTTACACTAGTGTTATATCGTTTTTATTAAATGGCTTTATTTGTAACACTCCTGTGCTGCCGTTTATGTGATAAACTCAAATATTGCCCAAATATATTAAAAATAAATATTTTTTACTAAAAAAAATGCTGTTTATATAATGAATACAATATGTTCTTTCACTAATATAACCAAGCATACCCAAATATACATTTTCCTATCATTGTGTTTTGAACGGAAATATACCCAAATATAGATATACTCCATTAAGCTATTAAATTTATAAAAAATAATACAATGGACACTTGTATGAAATTTCAACAAAATTATACCTTAAAATTTTGATGTAGACAATTGATTTAATCATACCTTAATCTTAAATTGCAAAAAGATCTATATAATCAGAATCATTCAATGAACCTAAATCCACAAATGTCAAGTTTATTTTCTTACAACATCTCAACTGCCCATTTCAACGGAATGAATGAAAGTTATAGCCAGCCAAGTCATATTTTTCATAACTATAAATTTATTTTCTTATCATAATCTATATTTTATACAGACAAAAATGAATATTGCTATATTTGGGTTGTTTAGGTATTTCCTGCCCAAACAATTTAGTAATTTAGTACTTTGGACATATTTCTGACCAGATATTTGGACATTTCTGACCATGCATTTGGACCATTGTATGGAAAGGCAAGTTGACTGATGACATCACAAGCAGTGTCTACTTGACATTTCGACCAGACTGACATTTCCCTATATAATATATTGGTGACAATGTTCCAGAAAATCAGGACATTTCACAAACTTTAAACTTTCATAACATTTTTTTATTTTTCAAGATATTTCCAAAATTTAAAATGTTCTAAGTCAGTCTGCTTTAATACTATTATTAAAACACACTTAAAGATCCTGTGTGTTTTGTGATTGATATTGTTACTGTGTGTATACCACACTTGCAATTAATTATATATGTATATATAATTATGCAAATAAAACAATTTTCAAACATCAAAGAATATGTAAAATGTGTATTGCAAATATTTGTGCATATTATATTTAGTCAATAAATTATATGCATTCATTTCTTATTGGAAAATTTGACTTACAATTTATAGAAAATAAATTTCTAATTACCTCCCTTTATTTACATGATATGTTAAATTCGGTAATATCTTTATAAATAATGCTTATTGGAACTTACAATAATGTCAAATGTTAATTTGAGCATCATATTTATGAAATAAAATCATGAAAAAAATGTGTTACAGGATCTTTAAAAAACATTGTAAAGTAAAATAGTTGAAATTTTAGCTGGGGTTGCTACCTGATTAAGTAGTGCTGCAATTATTACTACTAGTACTCATTAATTACAATAAGTGCTTACAATAAGTGCTTCCAATAAACACTACTAGTGCTAATAGAGTGATTTTTTTTTTTAGATTCTGTAAAGCAAAGCGGAAGACCACTGTTGATAAGCCTTGTAAATAACCTGTGCCAAAGGTATTCTTTTCTCATTTTATTTGCCATACACATACTGTATACACTTACCAATTCTCTGATTTTTATACCCCCAAAAACAAAGTTTAGGGGGGTATATAGGAGTCACCCGGTGTTCGGTTGGTCGCATTCTTTTGTCAAGACCATAACTTGAAGACTAATTGTTGGAATTCATTATAACTTCTTACAATTGTCAAGCACATTGAGAGGAAGTGCAGTGCTCAAGAACCATAACTCCATCTTGACTTATTACAGAGTTACTGCCCTTTTTTATTTTTCCTTGTCCAGAGCATGACATGAAAACTCATGGTTGGAATTCAAAACAACTTCATACAATGCTCAAGCACAATAAGGGGAAGTGCAGTGCACAAGAACCATAACTCCATCTTGACTAAGTACAGAGTTATTGCCCTTTGTTATTTTTCCATTGCTTTTTTGTCTGGAGCATAACTTGAAGGCTAATGGTTGGAATTCATTATAACTTCATACAATGGTCAAGCACATTGAGAGGAAGTACACTGCACAAGAACCATAAAACTATCTTGACTAATTACAGAGTTATTGTCCTTTGTTACTTTTCCTTGTCCGGGGCATAACTTGAAAACTACTGGTTGGAATTAAAAACAATTTCATACAATTGTCAAACACAATAAGGGGAAGTGCAGTGCACAAGAACCATAACTCTATCTAAAGTAATTACAGAGTTATTGCCCTTTGTTACTTTTCCATTGCATTCTTTTGTCCGGACCATAACTTGAAGACTAATTGTTGGAATTCATTATAACTTCATACAATGGTTAAGCACATTGACAGGAAGTGCAGTGCTCAAGAACCATAACTCCATCTTGACTTATAACAGAGTTATTGCCCTTTTTTACTTTTCCTTGTCCAGAGCATGACATGAAAACTACTGGTTGGAATTCAAAACAACTTCATACAATGCTCAAGCACAATAAGGGGAAGTGCAGTGCACAAGAACCATAACTCCATCTTGACTAAGTACAGAGTTATTGCCCTTTTTTACTTTTCCATTGCCTGTTTTGTCCGGAGCATAACTTGAAGACTAATGGTTGGAATTCAATATAACTTCATACAATGGTCAAGCACATCGAGAGGAAGTGCAGTGCTCAAGAATCATAACTCCATCTTGACTAATTAAAGAGTTATTGCCCTTTGTTACTTTTCCTTGTCCAGAGCATAACTTGAAAACTACTGTTTGGAATTCAATACAACTTCATACAGTTGTCAAGGACATTAAAAGGAAGTGCAGTGCACCAGAGCCATAACTCCATTTTGACAAAATACAGAGTTACTGCCCTTTGATACTTTTCCTTGTTCGGAGCATAACTTAAAAGGTACTGGTTGGAATTCGAACAACTTCATACAATGGTCAGGCACAATAAGAGGAAGTGCAGTGCACAAGAACTATATCTCAGTATTTATAGAGTTATTGCCCTTTGTTCCTTTTCCTTGTCTTTCTGGACTTATTACAGAGTAATTCAATAAAACTTCATCAATGGCCAACCACATTGAAAGGAAATGCAACATTGAAAGGAAATGCAACATATAAGAACCACAACTATCTTTAATTGCCCACAACCATAACTCTATATATGAATTATTTTACAAGGTATTCTGTAACTAGTAACATCCTCATTTCTGAAGCAGTCTTGTAGGGGTTTTAATCACATTTAGTGATAGTTCTAGTTTTTATTTTTAGCTCTACTTATTTTTTGAAAAAAAAAGAGGTTTTGCTACAGTCATTTTGGCGTTGCCGATGCCATTGCTGTCCACAAACTGGACCTTAATCATAAATTTTTAAGTTCCAGGTGTACTATCTTCATACTTGGCCACAAGACCTTTTATTAGACCACACTAACTTAAGAATCATTAATGACATTCAAGGTTCAAATGTCTAAATTTTGCTTTTTTTTTTTTTTTTGCTTCTAGTGTCTATAACTTTGTTATTTTTAAATAGATTGTCTTGAGCATAATAATCTTATAGGATAGACATTCAAGTTAAACCGATAAACCGACAGACCTTAAATTTCATTCATAAATGACCAAATGTCTAAATTTTGCTTGTTTCTTGCTAATTTTGGCTATAACTTTGTCACTGATTAATCTAGAAATTCCTTACAATGGGTTTGACGATGCACATGTTTGAAAAAAATGAGTCCCGTTACAAAATCAATGAGTCATGTCGCATAATAATTGTGTCTTAGCAGAACAAAAAACATTTTTAATAGCAGATCTTTGACATGATCTGCATGTATTTCTTAACAAGTGATTAAGTGATATTTAGTATATAAAAAGTTATTTCTGGTTACTAAGTTGACATTATATCTGGCATGTATATGCGCGACATTAATTAGTAATCAGCAGGTCCGGCATGTGTAATCACTTAGATATGCCAAAATGTTAAATGACCGTTTTTTTGCTTGCTTTTTTATATAATTGACATTTTTGTCAGACTTAATTCTTAATATTAATCAACATCTTTACCAAGTTTTTTTTAAAGAGCATGCATTCTAATTCTGCTATAAAATTCTGTGACCTGATATTATTGAATTGTTATTATTGCATATATTCAAGTAAGGTTTAAAAATTACCTTTGCTATTTGTATTATTCCAGATATAAAAAAGAAAGCAAACATGTTGCAGTACCTAGCTAGCTTAAATAAAACCACATCATGACATTTACATTTTATTCAGGTTATTTTGACAAAGTTTAAAAAACCCGACAGACCTTTGATCTAATCAAAGAGGCATGCCGACAATCACAAGCCCAATTTAATTAGATAATTTACTATGCAGCAAATCTTGTTTTATTAGTCCCCTACCGGTTTAACCGGAGGCGACTTTAGGTTTACCCTCTGTCCGTCTGTCCATCCGTCCACAAAACTAGATCCCGAGATAATGCGAAAAGTTCTAAAAATATTTTTATGAAACTCTATATATGGCTAATTTAACACATAAACTGGATCCAGAGATAACGTTTGGTTGCTATGGCAACAAATAGGCTTAGAATATGGCATATTTAACAATATTTGTGATTAACTCAAAAAGTTCAGAAAACATTTTTATGAAACTTAAAATAGGGATAGGTGGCAGTATATATGGAGATTATACACATCATTTTAATCTTGACTATAGGGAGTATATTGAGAGCTGTCCCACCCACCAAGCATCACCTCATCAAGATTTAAGTTTTTTTTCGCTTCTTCACTATAAGTTCTTTATTTTTTTAAGGTATTCAAACTTCAAATATATGTTTTTGATCCTCAACCTCATCATATGTGACAAGGTTTGCAAATAAAATTTTCTAGCACAAAAATTATCAGAATTACCCCCACTTGACCTTAAATTTTAAACTGTTTATGTAACTTGCTTTAAGAAAAAGTATTTTGAGTGTTGTCCCCACCTGGCAGTGGCTCTTTTTTAGTTTAAATAAATTAAAATAGTTTAAAGTAATTAAAATAATCTGTTTCACTTTAAATAATTTTTTTCTTTTACATAGACTTTGATATTTTTTTTATTTAATTTACCCGTAAATTTTGTAGATGTCTGATTTTTTTGGTTTCATTTTTAAACACTAAAATGGTACATACAGTATTTGTATACGTCAAGCTTTTTTTTTAAGTAACATAATCATCAAAAACAAGCCTTATATGTTCAGTAATTGATTTATTATACAGTATTCAAATATACATTAGCTGCATCAAGACAAAACCAACATAGTGCATTTGCCAACTCTATTACAAGTAGCGAAACTGATAGCGAATAGCATGGATCCTGATCAGACTGTGTGGATGCACAGGCTGGTCTGGATCCATGCTGATCTCAAACCCACTATGTTGATTTTGTCGTGACACGGCTCAATGTATTTCAGTTTCTCTTGATTAGTAATGTATTTGATGAGACCTTGATTTTCTTGTTGTTGTTGTTTATTTTTCTGTATATTTGATTGTTACAGGGTAGAGAAAGTCCATGTGGTATGTTTTGAAAAATCTCCAGACTACCTTAAAGATTTTATAAACACAGAGTTTTACCAAAGGTATGATCAACTTTCATTTGATTTTTGGCCAGGGTGCACAGGTGCAAACCTGGTTTATAAAATGTGGGCGGGAAAATATTTTAGTATCAGTTTTTTCAGCAACTACTTATCACAGCCTCTTGATATTTGGTATACAGCATCAACATGTGGTCCCATACTGTGGGATTTTATTTCAGGTCTGTTGCTCATCCACTTCCTGTTAATCTACTTAGTAAAATTTCAACATAATTGGTGAATGGTATGAAATTTTCGTAACAGTTTTCTCAGTAGCATCACAGTTTTATGATATTTGGTATACAAATGCAACCTGGCCTTTTTCTGTCTTTGACCCATTTTTTCTTAGTTATGTGTGGACAAATTATCCATTTTGACCTTATTTCATTCATTTGTCAAAGGGAGATAACTGCTTGTGACACCTTAGTTTAAGCTCAAGTGAGCATTTAGCAGTTGATCTGTCATCCATTCTCCAACCATCAACAGTCTACCCTCTAAAGGTCACAGTTGTGATTGGATCTTCATCAAACTTGAATGATCATATCAGTGATCTCTAAGAAAGAAAAAAGGACAATGAAGGTCACAAGCTTCAATCAAAGAAAATCCTTGTTCATAGACTAGAGGTTACATTTATTATTTGATTTGACAACCTGTGTTGGAGTGATATACTAAATGATATTTAGCATAAATTTGAAGATCACTAATCTTTGGTCATAAACTAGATCACCTTGTCGAAAAAAAATCTGGAAACAAAATAATCCCTCGGAAGCATTTAAATCACAACAAAATTACATGTAAATTGCAGACTCTGAGTCTGTACATGAGGGATAATGAATAAGTGCAACATTACTCACGCCTCCTAGCACCGCCTTGAGAGGTACTCAACTCTCATCAATAGTGCTGGCATCAATGAACCCGGAGGACGAGAAAAATATAACAACACTGAAATCAAATCAAAGAAAAACCATATAAATAGTCTAGAGGTCTCATTTTTATTTCTTTGTCTAAGTTTGATTGTCTTAAATAAATTTCATCACTCATGATAAGAATACTATTTTTATCTCACCTGTCACAAAGTGACATGGTGAGCTTTTGTGATCGCTTTTCGTCCAGCATTCATCCGTAAAATTTTACTTTAATCAACATCTCCTCAGGCCCGGCTAAGCCATTTTCATGCAAACTTCACAGGAATGATCCTTCGGTGGTCACCTTTAAAAATTGTCCAAAATATTTAATTCCATGCAGAACTCATAAAAAACTGCTAAAGCTCAGAAATTAAGCATGAAACATGTTCTAGTAAGTGTCTACTAAGTTTGTTCTTATAAAAGCCCTTGGGTCAAAATTGGCGGGGTGTTATTGATTTTCCTTATGCATGTATGTACATAGTAAAAACTTTAAAAAAAACTTCTTTTGAAAAACCCAAAGAGCTAGAGCTTAGATATTAAGCATGAAACATCTTCTACTGTGTGTGTCTACCAAGTTTTTTTTCAAATAAAAGCCCTGGAAAATTGGCCCCTCCCTGGGGGGGGGGGGGTCATTGATTTTCCTTATACATGTATGTATATAGTAAAAATAAAAAAATTCTTCTTTTAAAAAAAACCCAAGGAGCTAGAGCTTAGATATTAAGCATGAAACATCTTCTAGTGAGTGTCTACCAAGTTTGTTCAAATAAAAGCCCTTTGGTCAAAATTGGCCCCGTCCTGAGAGGTCATTGATTTTCCTTATATCATGTACATATTTAGTAAAAAAACTCCAAGAATCTTCTTTAAGAAAACCCAAAGAGCTAGAGGTTAGATATTAAGCATAACAAATCTTCTTATGGGTCACAGTCTTCCAAGTTTGTTTTAATAGTTTCTCTGGGGTCAAAATTGACCCCGCCCTAGGGGGTATTGATTTCTCTTATATGTACACATCTTTTGGAACTGTTGTTTTCCCTTAGCAATAGCAACCAGTAATGTTTTTACACATGCACTATTTCAGACGCAAATATGAACTTTTAGGTATCAGACTGCTTTTGTTTAAAGATTTCAATAATACTTGTTCCTTGTTATGGAGAGTTTTATGACTAGGCCCATTTTACCACAGAAATGCATTATTATATAACAATTACAGTGATACTTATCTAGTATTTTGTATGGAAGTCAAAATACTTCTTTGTTTACATTTTTCTTATTTAATTTAAAATAATTTTGGCGCCACTTTCTTCATTTAGCATGTTCTAAAACCATTAATTCAACAATATCAAAGGATTCTAAGGAAGTAATTAAGATTTTGTTTCCAAGGAGAAATGTGCCGTTTAATAACCAGGCTAAGGTGTTACATTCCTTTATGGCTTTACTACACTATAATCATATAGTATGGAGAGCTATTGTACTCACTCAAGGCGTCAGTGTCGGCGTCACATTGTGGTTAAGTTTTTGCTTGTAAGTTGGCATTTCTAAAACAACTGAAGCATGGATCAAAACTTCACACATTTATTTGATAGCATAATAGGAGTTCACTATTAAAAGGCCCATAATTTGGACATAGGTTTTGACAGAGTTATGGCCCTTTTGTACCTAAACTTTTGTACTTGGAAATTTTACATTAAGCAGGCTCATGGTATTAATAATCGAGCACATTGTCCTGTGACGGGTCTTGTTCATTATTAGCCATTTTTTATAACTTTCTATTAAATAAAACCCCCAAAAACAGAAAGAGAAACACTGTGAGCAAGATTGGTTTTGAAGGTTTAAATGATTAAAAAATATAAACTGTAGTAGACTTTGTAAATTGTGTTAGTATGTCTTCAATGCTTTAATCAACTGAAGAACTTGGCTGCTTTTCCTGGAGAGGGTAGGGGGTATTGAAGAGGGGAAAGTAGTCATTGTTCCATTTTATCTTGTGTTATTTTGTCATGGATATTTTTCTTCAGACTTGTATTTCATGATGGGTCAACAGATGTTCTCGGATGGGAGAGTGCTGAAAATCTCTCTGTAGATACTGACCTTGTGAAGCATCTTAGCAACAGATCTGGTCACCATGCCAACAATAATGTTGCTATAGTGATTGACAGTCTCAGTCCAATGATGTTACATCGTCAAGCACCTTACACATGTCAGGCTCTGTCAAGATTGACGTCTGCTAAAATACAGGGTAATGAGCATTTTGGTAATATAAATGAGCCGTGTCACCACAAAACCAACATAGTGCGTTTGCGACCAGCATGGATCCGTGCAGTCTGAGCAGGATCCATGCTGTTCGCTTACCAAGTCTATTTCAAGAGGAGAAATTGATAGCGAACAGCATGGATCCTGATCAGACTGCGCGGATATGCAGGCTGGTCTGGATCCATGCAGTTGCTGGTCGCAAACGCACTATGTTGGTTTTGTTGTGACACGGCTCAAATTACATGGCATCTGTGAAAGAAGAAAAAGTTGTTATAAAATTTCTATATTTAAAATGTGTTGAATGAGTTTCCATCTGTGATATCAGTATTAAGGTGGAAATTTTAATTGTAATCTTGAGTATGAAATAAGTTTACAATTTGTTTTACAATTATTTATTGTGTTTTTCATATAATATTAGGTGATGAAAATAATCGAAAAATTCTAGGTAGTGTTTATTTCATATTTTTGAGAAACCAATGTAAAACTTCGCAATTTCTTACACAGATTGTTTTACCTATATTTTCAGAAGCTGAAGTAGAACAAGTTGTCTGTTTATTACATAGAGATCTCCATGACGACCATAGCATAGTTTTATTAAATCACTTAGCAACCACCATTGTCAAAGTCACACCACCAAAACTAGGTCATTTTCATGTGGCCTGTAATACACTGCATAAAAGACTATCAGGGAAAGTTATTAGAATTGTAAGTGTTGAGTAAATAATAACATATTGTTTGTAAAGGTTAGTCAATGTACTTAATACAACACCAGGTCCCGTGTTTGCTAAGATTTAAGGATCTGAGTCAAAATTAAAAAATCAAAAACTCTCTATTGTTTACTCTCATAGATTAAATATTCAATATGTTCTTGATAAAGCTGGACTTCAAATAGCCTATTTAGGAAATTTTAGAATATATTAATTGTTACCTTACTAAACATGGGCATTTTACAGTCATGACAGTTGTTTCAAATGTTGATCTTGATCCCAAAAAATAGTATCTTTATTTTGATTGAATTATATTTTGTATTTGAATTGTTATTTGTCCATTTCATCCCAAAATTTTGTTGTTCCTTGCGAATCAGCAATTTTTTACATTTTTAGCTCCACAATTTGAAGAATATAGAGATTTATTGCAGTTGCGTCGGCGTCCACATCCGTGTCGGCGTTGGTTAAAGTTTTTTGTAAAGTCAAATATCTCAATTATTGCTCGAGATATTCAATTGAAACTTACAATACTTATTTATAGTAACAATGTACATCAGATTGACAAGGTGGATAACTCTGTCTACAATATTTACAGAATTATGCCCCTTATTAACTAAAAAATTTTGGTTAAAGTTTTTTGTATTATCTCTAATATTTACAATTTGGCATGTTTCAGGATGAGCACTTTAACCTGGATGAGCAGTATTGTATTCAGGACGTCACAGAAGTGAAAAATGTTGATACATCTACTGTTGCTATGGAAACTAAACAGGTATGAGCCGTGTCACGACAAAACCAACATAATGGGTTTGCGACCAGCATGGATCCAGACCAGCCTGCGCATCCGCGCAATGTGATCAGGATCCATGCTGTTCTCTATCAGTTTCTTTACTTGTTATAGGGTTTGTAAGCAAACAGCATGGATCCTGATCAGACTGCGCAGATGCGCAGGCTGGTCTGGATCCATGCTGATCGCAAAGCCATTATGTTGGTTTTGTCGTGAAGGGGCTCGTATGTTTAATTTTAATTTGCTGTGGAAATATCCATTGTTTAATGTGTTTTGACCTAGGGTTTGAAATAGTATCTTAGAATCAATGTGTTATTTACATAGAGCATATTGAATGAGTGTAGGTTTAATATTGAACGGGTTGATTAATATCATTTTAACTGATCCTCTGGCAAGCATAATATTGTTTTATTCAACAAGTTTAATAAATTTAATATTGAATCTACACAAATTTAATATTCTATTTATCTTACATCTGATACAAGAACGGTAAACTGTTAAAAAGAATCATTATTCATTGATGCGCACACTTTTAATGTAACACTATCATTAGCGCGCTTTTACAATATGTTTGTATATAACCCAAATGACGTCACATCAAAGTGTTATTACAGTAGTGTAATATAGTTTTTAGCTCGACTATTCGCAGAATAATCGAGCTAATGCAGTCACCCATTTTTCGGCGTCCCTGTGGTTAAGTTTTTGCATGTACGCTGGTATCTCCATAACTACTGAAGGGAATGGATTGAAACTTCACACACTTGTTCTCTGTGATTATCTAACATGATTGGCACACGTCCCATAACTCTGATTTGCTTTTTTGCATAAATATGCCCCCTTTTGGACTTAGAAATTCTTGGTTAAGTTTTTGCATAAAAGCTGGTATCTCCATAACTACTGAAGGGAATGGCTTGAAACTTCACACACTTGTTCTCTGTGATTATCTAAAATGATTAGCACACGTCCCATCACTCTGATTTGCTTTTTTGCATTATTATGCCCCTTTTTGAACTTAGAAATTCTTGGTTAAGTTTTTGCATGTAAGCTGGTATCTCCATAACTACTGAAGGGAATGGATTGAAACTTCACACACTTGTTCTCTGTGATTATCTAACATGATTGGCACAGGTCCCATAACTCTAATTTGCCTTTTTGCATAATTATGCCCCTTTTTCGAGTTAGAAATCCTTGGTTAAATTTTTGCGTATAAGCTGGTATCTCCATAACTACTGAAGGGAATGGATTGAAACTTCACACGCTTGTTCTCTGTGATTATCTAACATGATTGGCACAACTCCCGTAACTCTGATTTGCTTTTTTGCATAATTATGCCCCTTTTTCGAGTTAGAAATCCTTGGTTAAGTTTTTTGCGTGTAAGCTGGTATCTCCATAACTGCTGAAGGGAATGGATTGAAACTTCACACACTTGTTCTCTGTGATTATCTAACATGATTGGCACAACTCCCTTAACTCTGATTTGCCTTTTTGCATAATTAGCCCCTTTTTCAAGTTAGAAATCCTTGGTTAAGTTTTTGCGTGTAAGCTGGTATCTCTTTAACTACTGAAGGGAAAGGATTGAAACTTCACACGCTTGTTCTCTGTGATTATCTTACATGATTGGCACAAGTCCCATAACTCTTGATTTTTTTTCATAATTATGCCCCTTTTTCAGCTTAGAAATTCTTGGTTAAGGTTTTGCTTGTAAACTGGTTATAATCACCCTAACTACTGAAGGGTTTGTGCCTTTTTTTGGACAATTTTATGCATTCATAATAATAAAGCAGTGATTTACTCTATAAAACATCCGTGCAGTCTGATCAGGATCCATGCTGTTCCCTTACCAACCCTATTACAAGTAGAGAAACTGATAGTGAACAGCATGGATCCTGATCAGACTGAGCGGATGCGCAGGCTGGTTTGGATCCATGCTGTTCGCAAACGCACTATGTTGGTTTTGTCTTGACGCAGCCCATTTAAAGCAGTCTGTCATATCAAAAAAGACTACCTCTATATAACATAATTATTCATTCTTTTGAATTCCTTATTTATTTTACAAGATTATTCATCTTCCAACATCTTCTGTCTATTTCACAAAATTGTTCATTCTATGTTTCAAGGGGGTTAAACTCCTCCCTTTGAAAGAAATTGCTATTTATTGTTTACAATATCAAATAACATATTCTTTTATTCTTTTGAGAAGTATTTTCATCAATGAATGAACAAATTTTCTGAATAAAAAGTAAATAATTATTTGTTTGCAGACTGTCTCTGCAAAGATTAGTTTTGATTAATTTATTACCATACTTGGAACTTCATTATTCAAATATATTTATGATGAATGTACCATAAAAAATGTATTTTATAGAGTGACCCTACTGCCAATTTGACCTTCAATCTGACCTTGACAGATAAAGAAAAGGAGGCTAGAAGTCAAGTCAAGTTACCGTACACATATGATGTTAACAGGTACAACATTTTGTTTTCATGGAGACTGTCAATAAACCAAGTTCTCAAATTGAAAACTGTGGCTCACAGATAGATCAATGTACAAGATGGCTGAGCCTTTCATACAAAAATCCTCCTAGATTATTTTAATTAACCAAATTGTCCAATAGAAAATGCGGATTCTTGAATGAGTGTAATGAGTGGGTAGAATGGCTTGGACTTTCATGCACAACTCGCATAACATAATATGAGCATCTGCGCAGTCTGATCAGGATCCATGCTGTTCGCCTACAGACCCTATAACAAGTAAAGAAACTGATAGCGAACAGCATGGATCCTGATCAGACTGTGCGGATGCGCAGGCTGGTCTGGATCCATGCTGGTCGCAAACCCATTATGTTGGTTTTGTCGTGACGCGGCTCAATTATTTCAACTTGCACAGACTGATTGTCAACTATTATTCAATTACATTATACATGTAATATTTATTCAAAGAGAAGACAACTCTATAAATCAGTTACATTATACATTCAATATTTTAAAAAGAGGACAACTGAATCAGTCTGTCAATTTCAGTGTACATGTAATTCATATTTCAAAGAGATGACAACTGTGTTAATCAATTACATTAAACATGTAATCCATATTTTAAAGAGAAGACAACTCTATTAATCAATTACAAAGAACATATTATCCATATTGTAAAGGGAAGACAACTCTTTAAATCCTTTATTATTGTAATGCAATTGATTATATTATTTAACTATATTTGGTTGGAAATTGAGAATAATGTAACCTTATTGAGCCTCTAATTGATATGGTTTTTTTCACAGGGAAGACAACTCTACAAATTTTGGAGAAGGCAAAATATTTTATCAGCCTGATGATGCTGATGATTTTGATGAAGAAGATCCAGATGATGACCTTGACATCTGAGAGTGTGTCCATGCAGACCAGAGGCCAATTTATACTAAATATGGCAAGAGCATTTGAAACTTTTGAGTGCCACCATGCCTTTGGTTTATGTCCAGTACATGAATGAAAAATAAACAGGCATTTGAGTGTTTGATAGCACTGCCATGCAGACGTGAGGTCAATTCCTTCTGAATGTTGCAAGAACATTTGAATATTGGATTGCTTGCATGCAACAAAAAGAGACATTTTAGAATTTGATATTACCGCCATGTCATAACTTCATGTCAAGTCAATTGAATAGACATTGTAGAAGTTAATTGCATGACCATGTCTTTGGTGCATGATCATTGTATAATGGATGGTCACTATGTCATAGGATCATGCCAAAATTAATTATTTTAACATATTAAGCTCCCTGAGCACCAAGTTTTTTCAAATATCGTATAAATCTCACCTGATTTTATGAAATAATATACAATGTGATTTTCATGTCTGCAAAAGGGTATAGACATTTCTTAGAAGCAATTTTCTCGGTAATTCACATTTAGTCAACGAAACACATTGAACTGCTACTCGCACTTATTCTTTTGTACTTGTAAAACCATGTCGCAAACATCTACCAATGTCTTTCATAAGAATTCTGATTCTCTCTGGCTAAATGCTAATTAAAGTATTATCTCCAGTATCGTCAATGATGTAGTCGATGTATAACTTAACAAGTTCAGGTGTAAGTTATGTCTACAAAAGCATATAAACATTTCTTAGAAGCAATTTTCTTGGTAATTCACGAAACACATTGACCCGCTGCTCGGGCTAATTCTTTTGCACTTGAAAAATCATGTCGCAAACATCTACCAATGTGTTTCTGTAGAATTCTGATTCTCTCCAGCTTAATACTAATTAAAGTTTAATCTCCAGTATTGTCAATGATTCAAACAATATAAAGTCATCCACATAATTATGCTACAGCGCGAAAACCTAAAGAACGTAAATACTTAATAACTTCTCTAATAACTTTGTAAAAATAGAAAGGACTACAACAAATGTCCGAATGGAAGAACGATCCAGTTGTAATAAATGTTTTTGTACTTAAAAGCTAAGAACTCTTTGTTACGTCATGGGTTTATGAACGACATAAATATATATGTGCTCTAACTACGTTTATTATCTAAACTATATTATATGATACATGTGTTTACATATCAGTGTCCGTGATGGTAGTATATTAAGATCTAGGGAACTCTCTATTATAAAGGAGCTGTACGCACCTAGAGTATCATGTTACAGTTTACCTCATCATGCTACATCTTCCATCTTTTACAAAATTACTGTTATATTTTAAACATAATTTTATCATAAGTATAAAACGCATAGATTATTTGAATAACGCTTAAATAAATTCAAGGAAGAAAAAACTTATATTAGATGATGATTACAGTAACATGTAGTTAATAAATGTTCATTATCATGAGTCGTTTACAACATGTACTAATCATGATTAATACTGTAAATTTCTTCATTACAAACAATCACTGTCTATTTACAAGTCTGTTACAGCACGTGGCTTCACCTTTCTGCCTGCGCGAGTGAAATAATTAGGCATTATCCGAAGGGATTCAAAACCACAGGCTATTTTATTGCTATCGGTACACTCTGACCCTACGTTAATCATTTTCTGTCATTAAACTGACATTTCAATGCCAGAATTCAAAGCACCCATGTGTCAATAATGGCGATTCTTTAGATTTTCAACAAAATCTTTACGATTTCTGCGATATTGTTGTCGTTTTCTGTCTCAACAATATAGGACCTATCGCTGTGATTTTTTATAACAACAGCGGGACTCCAGGACTTGTCTAGACGTTGAATTCTAGCGGAATCTCCAACATTTAAGGGAGACAGAGGTTTAGCATTTTTTATCCATAGTAATGCATAGATTTGACCTTGGATTCTGCGATTTTTTGTTTGACTACATCAGGGGGCGGTACTCGTTGGTATAAGGTTTTCCCTTACAGTGGGAAGGATAGAACGAAGTTTGTCGTGATTGGACTAACTGCGGCTGGACTAAATTTCCTATATCAGCGAGAGGAGTAGAACGATATTCTAAAAAATCCTATTCTCGGATCAGAATTATCATCTTTTGCCTTTTAAGTATACGTTTGGCAACTTCAACCATCGCCTCAGCCAAAACCATTTGTTTGGTTATGATATGGACTACCATTTTACATGTACAAAATCCCATGACTTTGAAAACTCCTCAAATTCTTGACTAGAAAAAACATGGACCCCCATCAGTGACTATTTTCTCCCACATATGCCCCAATGTTGACATGATATCTTTCATGTGGGAAAAACAGTTGAACTTTTTATGTTCGAAAGGTTCATGAACTATGGGATACCTAGAATAGTAATCGGACATGACCATGAATTTTTTCTCATTAAGTGAGAACAAGTCACACCCTGCAATTTGAAACGGATAGTCTGGATTTTCAGAGCTGATTAATGGCTCCTTCTTTTGCGATGACCTGTATTCCAGACAAATCTGACATTGAATTTACCATTTCAATTATATCATTTGAAATTCCCGGGCCAAAACATTATTGACCTTGCTCTACTAAGACATTTTTGCGCACCCAGATGACTGGAATGCAGCACCTTTAACATTTCAGATCTGAGTGACCTGGGGCCAAACGATTTTTTCTCCTTTCACTATTAAACCATTAAACCATTAACCTCAGATAAACTCATCCCTATTAAGTTCCAAAAGGCAAGCAATTAAAAACTGATGACAAGCCTTTTTGGTACTTAGGCCAACCAAGCTTTTATTGTCTGTTGTAATGTACATAATTGTTCATCTTGTTTTTGTGTGGTAACATTGAATTTCCTCAAATTTTCTATCTGACACGGGTAAAGATGAGATAACCATGCAAACGTGTGCCTCAATACCCTCATTAAGTTCTGGGCTTGTTTCCGGACTGGCGTTTCTGCAAAAGTCCATCTGCTAATGGGATTTTCTTACCGGGGACATGTGACGAAACTGAAACCTATATGGAGTTAATTTCAAAGACTAAACGCTGAAACCTAGCAGGTATTGAATGCATAGGTTTTTTAGCAAATCCCTGTATAGGGAGATGGTCATTTTCCTACAATGACATCACAGGCCATAGCAGTACTGAATGAAATTTCGTAAATCCAAAGACAATAGATAATAATTCTTTAGAAATTTGACCCATATTTCTCTGTGATTCAGTTTAGCTACGGGACGCAAATGCTATGGGACGTTTTTTCCTGAAGGATTTACTGCCCCTAAAGATTTTGAAGAAGAATCAACTTGCAATGTCAAGGATTTTGTTTGGGTCATAATAAGCTAAACATGTGTCCTTACAAATGACTTCTTTCATTTTTTTCAAAGGAATCACTTTGAGGATTTGCCACGTGAATATAGTTTTTCTTATGCAATAACTCTCTCATAGGAGCGGTAATCTCTGAATAAATTGTCAGAGACATAACGACTGAGATAATTAACCATGCCTAATACCACCTGTAGTTCACTTTTTGATGTGGGTGGTTTCATATCCTTAATGGGCTCAATTTTGGCGGGATCGGCCTTTAAGCCTTCTGCAGTTAACACGTGACCAAAATAACTAATCTCGGTGAGAACCTACTTCCAACATTCTGGAATTGAAACGAATGCCTTTTGTTTAAAGCACGTTCAAGGACAGCTAACTAAATTTCGGTCATGACTTTCCTCGTGGAACCCATACACAATTATCATCAACAATTGTAGCTACCCCTTCGAGACCTATCAGTGCCTCTTCAAGGGCGCGAACCAAAAAAATCACCTGATACGTTTAATTCCGTATGGACAAATCGAAGATACCTGAAGAACCCCCAATGGACTGTTAAATGCAGTCAAATATGACGACTCTTCAGATAATTGTATTGACAGTAAGCACTAGTTAAGTCCAATTTAGTGAAATACTTTGCATTACCACACTTATGTAATACGTCATCAAGTGTTTTGAGCGGGTAGGGTGTACGCTTAATTGCACTATTAAGCGAACGAGGGTCTAAACAAAGACGTATATCGCCATTACTTTTTTCAGTAACAACTAAATTATTACACCATTGAGTGGGTGTTGAAATCTTAGCAATTACTCCCATTTTTTCCATTCGTGTAAGTTCCTGTTTCACTTTTATCTTGTAAAGCATCTGGAATCCTACGGGGAGGATGAACAACTGGTGTAGCATTTGGGTCAATATTGAATGTTACATTCCCCAGGGAGTAACCCTATGCCATCAAAAACCTGAGCATAATCCGTCAAAAAGGGACTCTTTAGTAAGAAATGCCTCTTTATTTCTATGATTATAATCATTTTGTACAGAATGAGCAAATTCTATGAGCTTAAAGCCCAAGCACGACTCGCAACCTAATAGTGGTGGGGATTTCGTGTCTACGACATGAAACGTGACATTTTTTGCTTGACCTGAAAACAGCATGAGAAACAACGGAGAGTGATTTGCCCTTTGCTATGCAAGAAATTGCCATTGTAGGCGGTCAATTTAGATGTGGGCTTTTCAAAGTGGTGCCTTGATTCCTAAACCTTGAAAGGTAGATAATGGCAAAATGTTTACCTGAGAGCCAGTGTCTAACTTCATTTGCACAGCCTTTTTTACTATTTCCAATTAATATTTCTGTAAACATCTGTCCATTTTTTACTGTTACACAGTCAAGACTGTCCACATTTTCTACACAGTCAATGTATAATTCAGAACTTAAATTTGAAATTTCACTGTTCTAGATTTTACAAACATTGCTCCAGTGGTTCCATTTATTACAATTGTTACATTGTGTGCCTTTTTGCTGGACAACGCTGCTTGTCAGTATGTTGATTTCCACATCTGTTACATTTTGTACTGTGTGAACGTTCCCCAATGCGACCTGGATTGCTTGATGTTTCTGTATATCGACCTGGATTCATCGATGAAGGGTTCCGAGACGAACGACCTTGGATGCCCGATGCACGGCTAGGCATCCGTCCCTTCGGTCTTGATACTGCATTACCGGAGCACTATCTTGGACGTTATTGAACATTTTTATTTGAGATGCAGCATATTCAAATTCCTGGCAAATTTTTGTTGCCTTGTCTAATTTCAGATCTTTCCCTACTTGCAAAAGCCTTTCTCTCAATTTCGTGGATGACACACCAAATATAATTCTATATCTGATCATGTCATCTTTCATTGTTCCAAAATCACACTCTGCAGCCTTGTTTTTTTTATTATTTGTGATGAATTGTTCCATAGTTTTTTCGCCTTGTGTGATATTATTGAATTGATAGCGGCTAAATACTGGGTTAATTATGGAGCGATGTGTTCTCGGACTTTTTGGAAGATCTTTTTTGTTTCTTTTCTATCTGCATTAGATAAATTGGCGGCTCTATATATTTTCTCTTCCCTTGGCACCCATATAAAGCAATAGCATAGTAACATGGACATCTTCTTCTTGCTCTTTCAAGGG